GACTCCGGATGCAATTTTTTTATTTTTTTTGTAGTTGTAACATGTGATGTTTTTTTTTGTTCTCATTAGGTACTCGATACTCATATTAAGCAACTAATTTAAATTTGCTCGGTGTAAGACTTACTTAAGAAAATTAATAATTTCTAACTTGGTTATTTTTTTATATTCAAAACTTGAACTCGAAACCTTTAAATCAAATTTATTAACTTGGACAAATTTTAAAAATTAATTTATTCAAAGAAAAAACTTATAGGCTCTATGTATATACCAAATTTAAAGAGACAAAGACAGAGAAAAACATGGAAAAAGATACATAAAAAGATGATACAACGGAAGAAAACTTTTTTTTTTGGTTTTAGAAATATAAAACAATAATTTGCACTTTTTATGTTTACAATATTCACTATTCAAATATTCAAATTCATCATATTGGTGGACCCCCAAAAAATAAAGTGATTTTTATGTTTTATTTTACATGTCATTAGTTTTTACTAGTTTCTTCCAAAAAAAATAATCTACGCTCATAAAGTAGATTGAGAATTATGAAGTTTCGTAGAAGCTGAGCAATAATGTGATCGTGGGAGCTCCTAGGGAGGGTAAAAAAAAAAACTCATAATTTAAGAAATTGAATCCATAAAGCTTAAATTTCATATCCACCTTTGAGGTTTCGGATTCAAATTTCAGCAGAAATAAGAAAATACTATGTTATTTCTTTCTATTTGTGCAAACTTTTAACGTTCAAGTCACCCGATACCCGTGCTGGTAGGCACAAACGAATCTAAACACCGCGATTATTAAAAAACAAAAAACATTATACCAAAGGATTTTAACGGTCATTTTGGCCCAATGACCAATTGTACAAAATTTCTTTTGGACCAAAAGAACCACTTTATTATCCAACAAAATATTGCCTTTTAATTCTTTTAATCCACTTTTTATTTTTTTGCAACGGGCAGTAAACTGTATTGTCATATAATATTAGGGTCATTTTTGTCATTTTTCTTTCTTTTTAGACTAGTACTTTAATATTTTATCATAACAATATACTATCTATAAATTAAAATTATATTTTAAATTTTATGTTCAGTCAAATAGAATCACATATAATGAGAAAGACAAGTGAACTATTAACTGAGATTTAGATACGGAGAAAAAAATATTAGTCGTAGTTAGAGATACATTAGTGATAAAAATGTATTTACATACTCAATTAGATTGTGGTCTATGTTAGAATTTGACATGCATGTAAGAGTTCGAACTTCTGATGATTTTCCCTATGTTTTAAGTTTTAACCAAGAACGTTTTATTTAGATTTTATTTTTTACATTAAATATGATTAATTTTCAAATGTTTGCATACGTTTATTAATTTTCAATTAAAATACGAACTTAAAGTGTTAGGATATTGGAGTCGAAGTTATTATTATAAAAATAAAATTTTACGTTATATGACAAAATATGGCTGATAATTATCACTTTTATATAACAATAATTTTGAAAATATAGCACCTTAAGTTAAATTTAATATATATCTCTTGATTTTAGGCATCAATTTTGATATATACATATAAAATAAAAATTAAAAAAATTAGATAAGACTTAATTTAGGCCCAAGCAACTTTTATGATCTGTTAAATTAGAAAAGCCCAAGAGCTGCTGAATCTAGAGCCCAATTTTATTACGCACTAGCCCAATTTAACAGCCCATTTACCTATTGACCTTGTTAAAATCCTAAATATTTTGAATTGTCAATTAATATGACTTATAGTACTGTTTATATAGTTTACAAATATATAAATTTCATTTCAAAAAAATGAAAGATTCCGTGCGCAAATTTTCAGTCAAATTTAAACTTTTTGACTTCCGAAAAATGAAAAATGTCACATAAATTGGGACAAAGGAGTATTAATTAAGGAATTGTGATACATTGACTTGTGAAAAAAAGGTCATTTACTTGAAATAAAAAGTTGACTTGACAACACTCTCAAGACTTAAACCAAGAAAAATAAGAATTACTTTAAATAAAAAGTTGACTTGACAAAACTCTTAAGACTCAGTATGAAATTATTTAATGAGAAGTTTCAGATTTGAATCATAAGAATAAAGTCGTCTTTGATAAGAAAGATTTTACTATCGAGGTGAGATTTTTAGGGCACATATTTGAATAAGTCAGGCGCGTTACAAAACGAATATTGAACAACGAGTGAAGAAAAAAATAGTATGAAATTCAATTTGTTACGACAAATATATTTTTAAGATATAAATTTCATTTATTCTTTCATAACAAGTGCAGAAACAATCGAAGGGTGATGAGATGATTGTAGTTCCTTTATTCTTAATTAGAGATTTGAATTACGCTTCATCAACTTTCTTACCATGTCTTTCACTTGGAATGAATCTAGATTAATCATATTAGTAAACTTCATTATACCATATGGTTAAGCTGAATGTGATCCTTCCATTCAAATTTACTTGTCAAATTTAGACCTGACATATCTATTAAGAAAACAACGCTTAGTATAGTGAATTTACCATTTTATCCCTATTAATTAATAGGATTTCAGACATATTTATTCGTTACATTTTTTAAAGACATTAACTCAATGTAAATAAATCGAGGATATAATAGGAAGAAAAAAATTGTACTTTTTTGATTTGTCAAAAATAACAGAAGTAGAAATCAAAGAAAAAAATATGTGACAAGTAAAAATAAACGGAGAAAGGAATTTTATGAAGGAGATATGCTTTATTGGAAGCTTCTAATAGAATTTTGTGTCTTTTTTTTAATATGGTTCAATTTGTCCAAGTTATGCCATCATGTTAGGCAAAAACACTAGTAAGTCAACTATTTTCCTTTTTCTACGTGAATTATTAGACTTTAAAACATAACGTTTTAAATAATATTAAAATATTATAACTCAGAAACGAAAAACTTCTATTGTTGAATATAAAAAAATCTTCGTATAAAACATATAAGCTATAGGCTATTTAGCGATCAATCAGCCACAAAATTCGTAACTAGTTTTTGTATTTCTTCTTCTTCTTTTTTTAGAATTTTTAACGGATAATAGGTCTTTTTTTTTTTGGAGGGTGGTTTCACTTAAATATTATATTTCAAACTCATGACATGTGTTTAACTCATACATTACGCATTGCACTCTTGTCACTGGACCGAAATCCTAGCTAAATCATCTACTTCTACATAGATTTTGGGGCAAAAGATTATTTCCTACCAATAAGGATTATGATGGGATAAACATGATTTTTCTATCTTTTACCGTAGATCTCGAATTCTAGTCGTTTCTGTATGAAAAGTTTTATATTAGGAAGAACTTCCTCTTAGGTTGGCCTGAATTAATCAAAATCCAATACACTTTACAAATATGCACCTTTCAAACATATTTTTCTTACTCCGACTAGCGCTGTTATTTTCTCGACCAATTTGAATTCCATTTCAGTATTGATTTTAACTTAAGTAGCTAAATGCTGACTCTGAATAACCAGCCCAACAATAAGTTCAATTGTTCCATAACTTGCTCCTCCAGATGGGAAGTATAGATAGAAAGACAGATTGGAAAGGAGCTGGAGAATTAGACTTGTTCTATTTTAGAGGCATTGTAACCGTAAGTGAAAATAACAATTATTTGGCCGATTGCTCTTATCATGATATTGAATATCAAACATAAACTCGAAAAAAAAGTTGTCCTTTTGTGGAAGCAAATATTCCCTTTCATTTCAACCATTTACTTTGACAATTGGCAAGTAGTGCCGTCTTGTTTACTTATTTTCCCAAAATTCTCTTTGTTTTTTTTCTTCTCTTTTAATAATCAAAAGTTATGTGTCTCCACTCTTCAATTCTCTTCATTCTTTTTTGTTTTTATATAAAATAATTTGTAATTTTGACTAATTTTTAATCACATAAACTGATAAATATTCCGACTGTTTAATTATTATAATATATACTTTATTATCCTTTAATTTTTTTAGTTTCATGGGCACCCACCATTTTTAGCCGTCCAATATATTAAAGGGTTGGTGATTAGTCAATTTTTTCTAGTTGATTAAGTTAAAATTATTCTTGATTATTCAATTATGTAATGGTTAAAATTATTTTTTGTTGGTTATAAAGGAATATATTGGTTGTAACTAATCCGGTATGCCTTTTTAAGTAATGGATTAATGGCTAAAATATAGCATGAGCTATTGCTATTCTATTTTTAAAAAGTGATATTTATTTCTTTTTAAAATTTTATAATGTTTGTAAATATTATTATTTGATAGAACCAACTCCAGATCTCTACCATCCATTTACCTAATTAATTAAGGTATAATAATTTTTTTTAAAAGTGATATATATATATATATATAATTTATGTGACACATTTCATTTTTCGAGAGTCAAAAATTTAAGTTTGACCGGAAATTTGCACATAAAATTTTCAATTTTTTTGAAATAAAATCTATATATTTGTAAACTACGTGAAAAAGTACTACAAGTCACAATAATTGATAATTCAAAATATTTATAAGGTATATGAAAAATTTACCGTCAAAGATAAACTTGTTAGAATCTCAAAATTCGAAATGTGTCACATAAATTGGGACGGAGAGAGTAATTCTTTACGTTAATGACATAATTGGACATAATTTCTAAAGAAAAAAATCCGAATCTCCAATGGAAACTTCCATCGAGATTTTTTATGTTTTGTATTGATGGGATGTGGTAGAATTTTAAGTACGAACACATAAAATTCAAATCCTAAATTTGCTTATGATACTAGGTCTTCTTGATTTGTTTATAGGGTATAAGTTTGATATGCACTAATTGCTATTATTGATAAGTCAAAAGTGCATAGAGACAACATTTAAGGACAAATAAATTAAACCACCACAATCATATAGCCACTCTTCCAATTTTTAAAAGTCAAAAGTTGGCCCTCTTTGATAATTTCTCCACACTACAAATAGCCAATTGCCACCCACTCTTTTCCATTGCAAAAATATTCAAGAAATTAACTTCTTTCTCATTTTCTTGTACACAAAAATGCTAGGCAAGAAGTTTGGTTCAATGAAGAAATTAGCCAAAAAGGCTAAGGTTATTAGATCACCTAGTGATAATTCTATTCACCATGATCAATCACAACATCTTGAATATTTACTTGTTAAGGATGATCAAGATCAAGATTATCAAGGGGTTAGTCCAACAAGTGCTAAATCATCAAAAAAGATGGGGACATTTGCAGTGTATGTAGGGGAAGAAAGAGAACGATTCGCGGTGCCAACGAGCTATCTTTCACATCCATTGTTCAAGATTTTGTTAGAGAAGACATATAATGAGTTTGGTTTTGAGCAAACAAATGGACTTGTGGTGCCATGTAGTGTTGCTGCATTTCAAGAAGTGGTCAATGCTGTGGAGTGTTGCAATGGGAAGTTTGATTTTGGTGGCTTGGTTGAGGAATTTCTATAATTAGGTCGATATTATTCAGGGTCGTATCTGACCTTGATTCAGAAGAATCGAATTAGCATTATTATTTTTTACCACTTTTCTAGCGTGAGGATACAACAACAACAACGTACAACATTTCAATCTCGAACAAGTTGGAATCAACTACTTTTTTAGCTAGAGTGAAAAATAGCATTTGGTGAATTAGATTCAAGGATTAAATCATATCTTAAGGATGTAATTTACAATTTAAGTCTTAGTTACTTTTGTACCAAAGAGATAGTGTAAATTATTACACCTTTAATATCCTAGGTAAGCTTCCTTTTGTTTTTTCCCATGAGGGGAAATCAATTGAGAGAAGTAAATCTTGTTATTTATATTTCTCTTTAATTAATGTCAACTAGCTAAATTGTAAATTTTAAGTGACAAGAATTGAAAGAGAAATGTAGTTGTTAATAATTTACTTTTTGCCCTTTCAATTACATTAAGACCATTTTGAGAATGTTCATCTTACTATAACAACTACTAGTATATATACTATATATGCCTCATTCTTAAACTTAAGTAGTTTGAGCTCGTTCACATAGTCAGTTTCAAAGTCAGATAAAAAAAGAGAGTTGGGGTAAGCTAATTAACTAAGGATGTACATCTCTATCATTTTAATCTTTCTCTTCACCTTGTTTTCAACAATGTGTGTAGTTAGTCATAGTTATCAAGTCAAAAGGGTTTCTAAATAGTCAAAATGGATGATTGGTAGTTTGATTATCATCAAGAGGTGCATGCATGTTATACAATTATTTAATTTTGACTTGGTCAAAAATTAGATACTGAACATAGTGGTAACCACATTAGCCAAAAAACAAAAATAAGTACTTGGCTGCATGTTTGTTGAAGTCAGCAGCATTTTAGTAGTTAGGTGATAAATTAGAGCCATAAATGACTCATGGAATGTTTTCGAAATTGTAATTTTCGAAAGAGTTTATGTTATGTGCATTGTCTGTATATCCATCACATTAAGTGAATAGAAGAGTAACCTGCTATAATCAGTTAAATTTTGACATGATGATGTAAAATTTCGTTGCATCGTCAATTGCCCACACACTTCAACTTGGAGTTGATAAACTTAGCATTTTAAAACAAGCACAAAAAGAACAAGAACTTGAAACTTTAATGTAAAAAAACAAAACTGTTTGTAGGAAATTTATTGCATTTTCATTGAACATGATCAGTGGGGAAACATCATGTTTGTTTTAGTAATATACTAGCAGTCAACAAGGATTTTTTTCATTTCACCAATGAGCTCCTGCATTTGTTCCCTAGTATGCAAGGGGAAGGGATAAACACATGCACAATCCAACAGTCCGTCCCTAATTGTGTCGAATATGGCAATAGAAGGGCCTACCCCATGCACGGATGCACACCCGATGAAGTCTTCTAATCCGATTTCTTGATGCACTGTGCTGGAGGTATCAATCACAGGGTCTTCAAACACAGAGATGAGAGAAGTCCTTAGTGAAGAGGATGGAGTTAAGCCGGGATTATCAATGGCCCTGCACATGAGGAAATTCAGGTCTCCCATGTCTGTGAAATGCTTGTTATTGTTCTTGGCGTTGATAAAAGATGTGTAACTTCTCTTTGCTAGCTCCCATAAATCATCTCCTCCCTTAACGTCATGCGTGTTGAGGATGGCAGAATGATAAAAGCCTGCATGACATAGGTCATCATTTTAATATGCTCTGTTCAGTAAACATCTTTAGGATGCAATAATGGAAATGACTAAAAGGACAGAAGCTGACGATTTCTGAAATCTAGATCAGCGGGAACATCTGCCTGAACCAGCTCAAAATGGGCATTTCCAACCAGTTTTGAGTTTAGAAGTCGGAGTTTTAAGACTCGGGAAAGGCTGAAGGGATACAACAATAGAAATGAAAAGAAAAAGCTGAACAGAAGTGAGAGTTCATCAAATGTAAGAACAATCGCATGGTACCGAAGTAAGGTGTACTTGCTCAAGTTAAAAAGGCAAATAGGATGTTTCCAAAAGACTAAGGGTAATTTGAGCTTTTCCAAGTACATAGATTATGTGCAATGAACTTGCAAGTCACATATAGCAACTCTGTTATTTACCTTCAAAGAAATCGTTGCATACCAATAATTGACTCCCGATTGAGTGTAGGTATGAGTTTATAGATTGACAGGTTCTCCCTCCCTTACTTAATAGGCTGAGGTTTTCTATTTAGTCTATAACAATTACTATCAAAGCAATGCTTGAGCCCGAAAATCAAAGAGGGGGATCAAGAGAGTGTCACATGTGATGGCTTTGACCTCAAGAGGTGTGCTAACCGTGATCAATTGGGAGTAGTTACCTGGACCCAAGAGTGTGCTAGCCTTGACCAACTGGTAGAACATCAGTAGCGGTACCATCTATGACTAACTTGGGTCCAAAAAGAAGAAAAAAAAGATCGGATGCCAGTAGACAGTAGTGACTAATGGGGTCAGATGGGTGTCAAGAGTGGTGGCCTAGATCCAAGAAATGTAAAGACCCGATACAAGTAAGTTTTTACCATGAATGCATTAACGAACCTGGAAAATCAGGGCTAAGCACTGGATCAAGAATTGAACGGCAGTTAATAAGGGTTACAATTGCATACTTCTCCCATTGATTCTCATTTAGGCCTTTTGAGGAATGAGCTGCAATTAATCCAGCAGCAGCCAACAGTCCACACAGTTTTATATCTCTCGTTTTGCAGCCCTGCAAAAATTCACATTTTGTTACTACCTCCTAATGCTCTAAATTACAAACAATATACATTTAATTAGGGAGTCATAACCTGTTGGTCAGACTCTTCAAAAGTGTTTGCCAGGTGCATGTTGGATCTTCCAAAAGTAGTGTAATTTTGGAGGATTAGCAAGTGGCGAGCGACATTTTGGAGTGTTGCACACACTTATCATAGACAGTTACATACAACTAACTTCTAAATAATTTGATTTTGCAGTGTCGTTGTATAAAATTTAAACCATTAATCAGGCTATAAACCTGATCGCAATTGAGCCGAATTGGATCTTTTGAATTAACGGTATTAGTTTATACCATTCTCGGTGGACACAGTTATTTGATACACATGTAGATAGAAGGTACTGAGGTAACCACTAGTTGACCCGAACACCACGATTATTTTTTAGAAAAATTTAGGTAATACCATTACTCACAATCAGGCCAGATTCTAGTCATGTGAAAGATGTAGCATGCAAATTGGCCAATTCACAATTCGAATGTGATTAAAGTTGGACATCATGTGAAGAGAATAGTACATCAGCATTCAATGAGGGCCATAGATTCTCAACCAACCTAACAAGAAAATTGGGCCAAGCAAGTTTTTATAGAGTAGCTTTGCCTAATTTCTAAAGAAAATGAAAAAAAGATGTCAACCTAACTTGACAATTAGAAATCTATTTTTTTATGACGAATGACGATGATGTTCAAGTCAGTTTGCAAACATTATCTATTAGATACTTGCTATTTTCCATCTACGCAAATACCAGATAACTTAATCGATCAAAACTTAGGCACATAAGAAGAAATTTGAATCATCTAATATATTTTGTCTCCACTTAAATTTAAACCATAATCTCTTTTTTCATATTTTCGAAATAACACTAAGGATATTATAATTAATTTATGATTAAGTGAGAAAAATACATATTTTCAAAATTATACTAAGGAAATTATAATTAATTATGATTTAAGTGCGAAAAGTATATGATTAAAAACAATACACCATACATCGAGAAAATGGCAAATATAATCCTTGAATTTAGATAGGTTTAATATACTTCCTTATATATAGTATTTCAAAACTTTTAAATTCTTTGAGTTTGTAAAACATCTGACAATTAAATTTATTGAAAGAGAAAAAGGAATATCACTATCTTGCTCTTAAATAAGGAAGCTAAAGAAAAACACTACTCCCCATCCACATTTTGATTTATTTATCTGATTTGAACTTAAAACATAGTTTAAAAAATCAAATTCTACAATCTTAAACTAAAGATACATAAAGTGTACCAAAATACCATTAATCTTATAAATTTAAATATATCACGCGAAAAGATAAAAATAATGAGAGGACAAAAAAAAAGGAAAGAGTCGTTCTTATTTGAAACGACTAAAAAGGACATTAAAACAAACAAATTGAAACAAGAAAGTACGTGATTTCTTCTCATCTAACCAAGCCTCAATTAGTCTGTGCACAAGCTAATTTATGTACCAACGTGAAAAGTTGAAATTAATGAATTGTAGAAAAAGAAAAAAAATCCTTCTTTTTTGAAGCGGACTATCTAGGACTTAACGAGTGACTATGTGATTTCTTCTAATCTAACCAAGCCTGAATGGTCAGAAGTAACATGAAATTAGTCGAGACGTGCACGAGCTAACCGGACACTGCTGGTATCAAAAAGGTAAGAGATTTACTAAAATGTGAAAAACTTACATCAAGAATGCGATCAGTTTCTTCTTTATTCAACTGCAATTTCACAACTTGTGATCCTCTTGTTGATTCCGAATCCATAAACTTCAAATTAGAAAATCTCAATGAATTCAATCCATACCCCACCATATCAATCCCACGCGCCCAAAATGGCTTACTCGCTTTACCAGCTGGAATATACTCTTCAATCCCCAAACCAACCTCCATCTTTTTCAATAATTCCAATTCTGTCCCTTCTCCGTCTTCCCCACTCACCAGCTCTAGCAACTTTTTCAGTAGCGCCAACGCTGCTGCCCGATCACACGCCGATGTATGAATCCTTAACGCGACGACCGATTTCTCGTTTTCTAATTGATAAATGCTTGCGAAGAAAATATCCGTGTCGGAATCTGATGAAGTGCCGGTATTTATCCATGAGTTCTGGTTGATTTCGTGTTCGAGGATGAGATGAAAATCGGAGACGGAGGTGAGATCGGAGGTTTTGAGGCGTCGGAGAATCTGAACCGTTGATGAGAGATCGAACGGCTGGATTTGAAGATGAGAAGTGGAGGGAATGATGTA